TGACTGCAGGAAATGGACATGTGACTGCAGGAAATGGACACGTGACTGCAGGAAATGGACACGTGACTGCAGGAAATGGACACGTGACTGCAGAAAATGGATACGTGACTGCAGAGAATGGACAGTTCGCAGTAAACCAATTCAGTTCGCAGTAAACCAATTTGTATTTGCACTGTTTTTTAGCTCGCTTATCAGTGATCGTTATCAGTGAAAGTGTTACTCGCCACGTCGACTTTCAACAGCGCCGACTGTGTAGCATGGATTTTTCAGTGGACCGGCTCAACGCGATGGACCATGAGATGACATCAGAAATTCAGAAAATATTCAAGGTTGCCAATGTTTCATGTAGATCTGACTTTACTGAGACCGCTTTAATGAAACTTAACAAAAATCCACTCGTCAAAATCATCGGCAGCTTAATGAAATTGGCGGAGAAGAATATTGAACTTTGTAAAAGTGCTGCTGGGAAAATTGATGTCATGAAATCGGAGAAAATAGCGGATCAGAAACTAATTATTGAAACTCAACAAGGACAGATGAATTCAGTTCAGGAGACAGTTAAATCAGAAATGAAAAGTTGGACGGATGTTGTCAAGAAAAACACTGCTCAGCGTCCTGGCGGGAAACCTTTAACAGAAAACTCTATCAAACAAGCCGTCAGGACTGTAAATGAAGAGAAGAAACGATCGAAGTACTTGATGATCTACGGTTGCCATGAAAGTGATAAAGAAGCCGATTTTGAGCTCAACAAAGTTGTCAAGGACATACTTTACGGAACTGACGCTTTCCCCGTGCTCCGCACTGGTGAGGTCTACAGAATCGGAAGGAAGGAACCGGGTAAGAATAGGCCTATCAAGGTCGAATTTGGTTGTGCCAGTGAGGTAGACTTGATTTTGATGCGTGCACGAAACCTCAGAGACAGTGACTCTTTCAAACATGTTTATTTGGGACCGGACAGAACCAAAGAGGAACAGCTTGCGCATAGTAAACTTGTTAAGGAGATGAAACAGATGATCCAGAAAGACTCAAATAAACATTATTTCATACGCGACAGAAAGATCTGCACGGCTGATAAAACCTTATCATCTCAAACGTCCCAAAGCTCCTGATAAGAGTTAATGTATGATGTATGTTGAGTGTTATTTGGTGCTGACTGGAGTTGCCGTGTGTAGATTTACCACTTTTTACAATTAATAAATGAACCGCGTTGAAAGCTTATTTAGTGTGTTTTTTTCAGTGCTGAGACTGGTAAATGTTAAAGTAACAGAACCTGAACTGCAACTCATATTTTTATGCTATTTTCTAGTTACGTCGACACACAAGGCTAAATAGTTTTCGGAGGCTTGCTAGAATTTTATTCTCTATGTTTCTCTATAATTTTATATTGTATGTTTTTTATATTTCGGTACAGACCAGCGCCCATTGGGCGTATTCAATCAATCAAAGACACGTGACTGCGGAGAATGGACACGTGACTGCAGGAAATGGACACGTGACTGCAGAGAATGGACACATGACTGCAGAGAATGGACACATGACTGCAGAGAATGGACACGTGACTGCAGAGAATGGACACGTGACTGCAGAGAATGGACACGTGACTGCAGGAAATGGACACGTGACTGCAGAGAATGGATACGTGACTGCAGAGAATGGACACGTGACTGCAGAGAATGGACACGTGACTGCAGAGAATGGACACGTGACTGCAGAGAATGGACACGTGACTGCAGGAAATGGACACGTGACTGCAGGAAATGGACACGTGACTGCAGGAAATGGACACGTGACTGCAGGAAATGGACACGTGACTGCAGGAAATGGACACGTGACTGCAGGAAATGGACACGTGACTGCAGGAAATGGACACGTGACTGCAGAAAATGGATACGTGACTGCAGGAAATGGACACGTGACTGCAGGAAATGGACACGTGACTGCAGGAAATGGACACGTGACTGCAGAGAATGGACACGTGACTGCAGGAAATGGACACGTGACTGCAGGAAATGGACATGTGACTGCAGGAAATGGACACGTGACTGCAGGAAATGGACACGTGACTGCGGAGAATGGACACGTGACTGCAGGAAATGGACACGTGACTGCAGGAAATGGACAAGTGACTGCAGGAAATGGACATGTGACTGCAGGAAATGGACACGTGACTGCAGGAAATGGACACGTGACTGCAGGAAATGGACACGTGACTGCAGAGAATGGATACGTGACTGCAGAGAATGGACACGTGACTGCAGAGAATGGACACGTGACTGCGGAGAATGGACACGTGACTGCAGAGAATGGACACGTGACTGCAGAGAATGGACACGTGACTGCAGAGAATGGACACGTGACTGCAGAGAATGGACACGTGACTGCAGAGAATGGACACGTGACTGCAGGAAATGGACACGTGACTGCAGAGAATGGATACGTGACTGCAGAGAATGGACACGTGACTGCAGAGAATGGACACGTGACTGCAGAGAATGGACACGTGACTGCAGGAAATGGACACGTGACTGCAGGAAATGGACACGTGACTGCAGGAAATGGACACGTGACTGCAGGAAATGGACACGTGACTGCAGAAAATGGATACGTGACTGCAGGAAATGGACACGTGACTGCAGGAAATGGACACGTGACTGTAGGAAATGGACACGTGACTGCAGGAAATGGACACGTGACTGCAGGAATTGGACACGTGACTGCAGGAAATGGACACGTGACTGTAGGAAATGGACACGTGACTGCAGGAAATGGACACGTGACTGTAGAGAATGGACACGTGACTGCAGGAAATGGACACGTGACTGCAGGAAATGGACACGTGACTGCAGGAAATGGACACGTGACTGCAGGAAATGGACACGTGACTGCAGAAAATGGATACGTGACTGCAGGAAATGGACACGTGACTGCAGGAAATGGACACGTGACTGTAGGAAATGGACACGTGACTGCAGGAAATGGACACGTGACTGCAGGAATTGGACACGTGACTGCAGGAAATGGACACGTGACTGTAGGAAATGGACACGTGACTGCAGGAAATGGACACGTGACTGTAGAGAATGGACACGTGACTGCAGGAAATTGACACGTGACTGCGGAGAATGGACACGTGACTGCGGAGAATGGACACGTGACTGCAGAGAATGGACACGTGACTGCAGGAAATGGACACGTGACTGCAGGAAATGGACACGTGACTGCAGGAAATGGACACGTGACTGCGGAGAATGGACACGTGACTGCAGGAAATGGACATGTGACTCGGTCAGACTGTTCAATTTCGGTGTAGTTCAGTTGGTCATTCAAAAATCAAAACTCTTAGCAACTGGAGATGTACCGCAATAGAATAATTTTTAAATAAACGTGATTGGATGAAACCATGTCACGTGGTGCTTGATTGCTGGTTTTAGAATGGATAATATCGTCATCTTGTTGATCTATCAATAATTGAGCCCTGTGCTGTATGTTAAGTTCCATTACCGCCTCATCGAAGTTGAAACAGTCGACGATCGTGCATCTCAACAGTATGTATGGTTTCTGGCGATTGTCGAGACCACTACTCAACTTCAAGACTTTATTGTAATCACCACGGAATAATTGAAGTATCTACACGTACCTGATATAAATATGCTGTGCATGAGTAGAATAACCAACTGAAAGAGAAACACTGTTCTGAAGGCCATAATTCGAGCTATATGGTCGGCAAACGTAAAAAAGAAAAATGACGTAGTGTTGTGTGAACTGTTAGTGTTCGAGTAAATTCTCATACTCAATACTTATCGAATCAAACAGAAACAATAACGGTTACACATCCAATTAAAGTTAATACTCGGCTTTTCCTTCTTGTGCAGTTTGCATTGAAGAAGAGGCCAAACAAGTTTTTTCTGAAAGCTTTCATGATGGGAAATATGTTCATGTTGCGAGTTTAACAAGTTTACAAGTTTAACAAAAATAGATCTTTATTACAATGTCAGATCAGCTGCACAGTATACTTAAAATCATTTGGTGTTTGATTACGTAATATCAAATATGTGAACGACCCCTAATAGCGTATTATTTGTATCCTTGATCCTGTATTTGAGACGTATGATATATTTCAAGTTGTTGTGGTACGGAAATCAACACTGTTTATTCATGATTCAGGTGTTTATTTTGGCTGAATTCCAACAACTGTTTTTGTTCCCATGTTCTGTACTCTTATTGTAGATTATGGATTGGGAAATACCGACATGAGCTAAGTTGGTTACTATATATTAGCTAAGTTGGTTACTCTGAATCAGATGGATTACGGGTGGGGGCCGGGGGGGGGGGGTTAGATTGTAAATACATGTTTGTTCCTCAAGAACGGCTGGCCATTCAGATAATTATAAAGATGAAACTTAATTTTATCTTAATTTGTAATTGTAATAAAAATTTGCAATGAGGGATACACCAGTGAATCATGTCTCAGGAGTGAGACTCTCACTCCGCACCCAATCAATTTAAACTTACATCTTTAATAAGTTTTCAGATTCATTTACTGAATACTGATTAAATTCTCATTCCAAGTCACAGTAAAGCTAACAGTAACAAGTAACGTCGAACGTTGTTCATTAATGAACAATAAAATTGTTTGTGAAACTCTGCATGAAAGCCCTTCTATAATCTATTTCCAATCCAAGCTGGTTTCAACATTCAATCACATAACAAATGTAATGCACACCTTAATTAAATGAGCACAGTAATAGCCCTGAACTGCTATCTAATCCTATATATCTTCTTAATATTGTACTTGTACTTGTATTTGTAGTTGTAGGTTTATAACCTACCAAGACGCGCGCCAAGTTGGACTCGTCGACGAGGACGGTTTTAATATTTGAGACAAATATTTTACGAGTATCACCCGTTTAAAACATATTCTTACCGTGAATTCAAACTTATAGTAGTACTAGTAGTACAACTTGATTCTTGAATCCCAAAAAAAAACAATTTGCCCTTAGCTTTATTTGTGCTTTAATATATTAATATATTATTATTAACCATTGACAATTGAATCAAGTAAGTCTTCAAAAACGTTTAAAACAACAATTTCCCCCAAAGCTGGAATGATTTCAAGACCCTTCCTCTGCAGCGGTTCCGTCAGGGTCGTCTGACACGTACGGTTCTCCTGTGTAGGGGTCTCTACCATTATCTGCAGAAAAGGTTTTACTTTTAGTTACCTTTACAGATCGGACTTTTATTTATTAGATCGTACTTTATTTGTTTCAGTATTACTATTAGAATAGTACACGGCCGGATTCTGGCGTTTTCGACGTAATTTGTGCGGGACCACTTGGACACTAGTGGCCAAATACTAGGATATCCGACATCCGTGTTGTGGATTACATTTACATATTAGCATTGCTATTGCTAAATTCAACAGGATATCTTAAGTTTATTGTTTATAGAAAATCAAAACTTACGTTCTCTGAGAAGTATCTGTTCCCTTAATAATCTTGCTGCCACTACACAAATGTCTTGGCTGGTATCTGCTTGTGATTGCAGAACCTGAATCATATTTCAACATCAAGAAATTATTTCTCGTCGAACGTCGAGTCTACCAATAGTAGTACCAACAATAAGTATAATTAGCACTTGCAGTAGCAACTAGGAACGCATTAAAAATAAAATGGTAAAATATCTTTTTATGACTGTTATCCTACCTCTTTTCCTATGTCATGCAGCAAACGATGAAATCCATTTGGTACGCTGAGAACTTCAGGAGCAAAAACTATAGACATTTTTAATTTATCCTTCCCTCTGCTGCGTGGTTGCAGTTTTTCTGAACTAAACTGTAAATGCTTGTAGTTGTAGTTGCTCCCTAGTTCCTGGACATAATAAAGTTGACATTAGTCAATGTTTATGATCGTTATGAATAATTATTTTACAATAAGACTGTAGCTAATTTATATTTTTTATAAACGTATGGTTAGTGTTACTTTGATCTTGAATTTTTTGATCCATTAAATTCACGTTCATATCCTGTCAAATATATTTTAAAATATGTTTTGTCATACGTTGTATGACCCGCCGCGCACGAAGTGCGCGGCTCCCCCTGTATCGTCAGGACACCATAGTGAAACGACCGTGGGGGTCGCAACGTGATACAAAATATGTTAATGTCAAAAACAGTCGTAAACTTTTAGGGGCCATCTACTTAGGACGTCCGCCAAAATTACAAATTTTCAGACCAACCGGATGTGTCCGAATTTTCAAAACTACCCCCTTCCTCCGGACGTCCAGATTTCCAGCTACTTTTAGTTTTAGAGTGCAAATAAAACCAGCTCAAATTCATTGTTAATAAAATGTGTAGTTACTTAAAATAGACAATAATACATTTAGTGTCGAACAAGTTTAGCACAGTTACATTTAATTTTAAGTACTCGTTCAAAATACAGGGATCTAAACTTACAGAGTAATTAGTGTCAAAGAAGAGTTGAAATAAATTGGACTTTGTCGTTAATTCTGCCAAAATTTCCGGACGTCCGGATTTTTAGAAACCCCCCTCCCCCTGTCCGGATTTGTCCGAAATTCCAAAACCACCCCCTCCCTATTTGCCGGACGTCCTAAGTAGATGGCCCCTTAGACAAAAGGTCTTGTGGCGTAGTTTGGGATCGGATTGTGAAAAGTGTTGAAAATACATTCACTTTTAAAGTTTAGGGCATGATACTAGATAGTATATACCAGGATATTCAAAAGTACGTGAGCGCAATTAATTGTGGAAGACGATGCACAATGTTAATAGAAACTTAATTGACCGATCACATTTTGACCGCATGTACGAGACCAGAATCATACCTGTCGCAGTAACTGAATATTAAAAACTGATAACACCGCAATTAAGTTGGAAATTCTTCTTAGAAATCTAATCCTTGCAATCTAAGATCTAGGCGGTCAATCTGAATCACTATCACGCAGAAATAATTTTCTATTGTCTACATCGATCGGCAGAAGTTCGTTAAAGAAGATTTGAAAACTTTATTAACACATGCGGTAAGAGTTAATACAGAGTGGTTGAATAACTATGGATTTGAGATTGCAGCATGTGAGATCACAAAAACTTTTATGATTTGAGTCGGCGAATCCGGCACTCCGCAGTCCGCACGTTTGCTTAAACTTAAACTTAAAGTTAAATCTATACGTTAACAGTTAAAAAACTTCATAGTTTGTTCGATACGGATAAAAAATTAATCTATGTCAAATGTGCAGGAGTGCGACTAATAACTAAAATGTAAGAGGGATACAAAATTCAACACGAAAATAAATTAACAAGATATAAGAAAGATTATTCTTGAAAACTCGAAGTACAATGGAAAGCAGACTTGCATCGCACGACAACAAAAGGTTGCATGTTGTTAAGGAGAGATACCAACAGTAACACAGCACTCCAGCCAATGTCATTTCATACGGTAGTTCTGCGGTGAAACAAGTGTACTCAAAGGTCACATGCAGAAAGTGGCAAGCTGTAAAAGCTAATATAAGATATTGCTTATCAACTTTTTTACGTCACTATCAATATCTTCCTTCAGGGCCGGCCTGTGGGATTGTATCTTGGAGTTTAAAGTATTTTAGTGTTACAATCAGCCTTTATCAGAGTTCCTATAGTATAAGTGCTAACCGCAATTTTATCAGTTCGTAGCACTGGCAACTGGCAGTACTGTTCTGATTTTGCGTGGGAATGGGACATACAAATTGACACGGACCAATAGTAGTAGTACAACTACAAAAATCATTATTCTCTATCAGAATTCTCACGAGAACGGGAAATGGTTGTTAGTTAACTGACATGTAAGAATGAAAAGAATTATTCAACTACAAAGCATTTGTGGAGTAACTAAAATTAAAAACGATACGACACGTATATTTATAACCATGATAAACACGCACAGTTTTGTGTCAAAGTGTGATAAGCCCTATTAATTTTGTATCTTATACTTTTATGTCTCATTAGACTTCAGAGAAAAAAAGCAAAGGTGAAAACATGCTGTCTCAGACTCTAAGTTGGAGTAATAATATAAAGGCTGCCCCACATTTTACCAAACTGAAACATGACGACATGTCTATTTTGTCCTTAGTTTTACGGCAAATTATTGATTAAAGGAGTTTTAGTATCGGGTAAGACTAAGAAGCATGGTTGTGACCATGCTACCAATGGCATTATTGCGAGCATACTATCGGAATTACATTGGAGCCACGCAAGCATGTTCTCTTAATCAGTTAGTCTTCACTTGTAGTAATGATATTTAAACAGCGATGTTTTTCGATTAACCTCAAACTAGAAAATAAGATTCGATCGTAACGTCTCCAGATAACGTCTCCAGATAATTTGCGGAGCAAGATACAATATAAACATATCACATTAGTTGTCATAAAACGGTAATAAATAATAGTAATACGCACATACGATATGCAGTCTAACAAATAACATCATTCAATCTCGTCAAGTTCAAAACCACGGCTTAAAAAGAGCCGACCCAAGGAACAATTTAAAATACTTCAAGTCTCTTTTCAAAAAAATTACGATCTAGACCACACTACCTTGACAAAGAAAACCACACTTCGTAATATCAGAGGATGATTAGAGTATAATCACTATCGTGATAATATGAGTGTATTTTATGAGATTTAAAATAAGAAAAAACTTCATCAGATTTAAAAGAAGAAACTTTAAAGAAGGAGAACATGATGAACACCATGTTCTTGAGTCTGATTCCAGAAACTTCTGTCCAACGTTAGGATTCAGTTTAAAATTCAACCGTAAACAAATATAAAGAAGTTCGTAAGAAGATGGGATGGATAAAGCTTCGTTATCACTGTAGCATCTGTAACTGTCACGTTATCAGGGGATCGTGACGTCATCAAGGGGTCGTGACGTCATCACGCTATTGACCAACAGGTCCCTCACCTCCAGGCACCATCATCGTAATGTTTTTACCTAAATTTATAGAAAGACCAATTGTTAAGAAATTATCAAATTAATACTTTTTGAATGGTGTATGACATTTGATCCCCTGACATTTTAGGACGTTGAATACATAACTTTACACACACATACACACACACACCTTACCATTACTCTATTCCCTGGCCTTATCCCAAAAAACGTTGTTTAAAATAGCAGGGGTGAAATATCGAGGGGTAAAATGTTGGGCCCCTGTTAACAAATTAACAAATCACTCGAACAATAAAAATATTCTTAACACTTCAATAAAAGTCAACAAAACGTACCTGAAAGGAGAATCTGGTCTAGTTTAGTTACTCTTCTTCCCTCTGGGGTGTTCTCGTACTCTGTAACGTCCTCCAATACCATGTTTACAAAATCATCAAACCCTAACAGTACGCCCACAATCTGAAAGCCGGAGATAAATCTTGTTACTGTTAGTAACTGAAGTAAGTTATACGAAGTTTGGACTCAAGGATTAATCCAAACCTTGGGGATAAATCAAATGATTATTTGTTATATAGTAGTATTGAAAGTATTACTACTTTATATTTTGTACCTCTCTGTCGTTATTCATTGTCATATGCATTCTGCTTCCAATACACTTATCAACCAGCTCCAGTGGAAGGAGTGTAGAGGGGTTAGCTGCTGTGTTGTTGTTGTTAGCAGCCATGGTTACTGTAATGAGTGTGGTTAGTTAGTTAATTACGCATGGTTAATTAGGTGTTAATAGTAATTCATCTCGTCATTAGGCATGTTTGTGTTGAATCAATTATGTTTTTGGGGAAGTGAATATTGCCATATGATTATATTTGTGATAATAGATAAATTCAAAGATACAATATAAACAAGATACAATATAAACATATATATCACATTAGTTGTCATAAAACGGTAATAAATAATAGTAATACGCACATACGATATGCAGTCTAACAAATAACATCATTCAATCTCGTCAAGTTCAAAACCACGGCTTAAAAAGAGCCGACCCAAGGAACAATTCAAAATACTTCAAGTCTCTTTTCAAAAAAATTACGATCAAGACCACACTACCTTGACAAAGAAAACCACACTTCGTAATATTAGAGGATGATTATTGATTAGAGTATAATCACTATCGTGATAATATGAGTGTATTTTATGAGATTTAAAATAAGAAAAAACTTCATCAGATTTAAAAGAAGAAACTTTAAAGAAGGAGAACATGATGAACACCATGTTCTTGAGTCTGATTCCAGAAACTTCTGTACAACGTTAGGATTCAGTTTAAAATTCAACCGTAAACAAATATAAAGAAGTTCGTAAGAAGATGGGATGGATAAAGCTTCGTTTTCACTGTAGCATCTGTAACTGTCACGGTATCAGGGGATCGTGACGTCATCAAGGGGTCGTGACGTCATCACGCTATTGACCAACAGGTCCCTCACCTCCAGGCACCATCATCGTAATGTTTTTACCTAAATAGAAAGACCAATTGTTAAGAATTTATCAAATTAATACTTTTTGAATGGGGGTATGACATTTGATCCCCTGACATTTTAGGACGTTGAATACATAACTTTACACACACATACACACACACCTTACCATTACTCTAGATTCCCTGGCCTTATCCCAAAAAAAGTTGTTTAAAATAGCAGGAGGTGAAATATCGAGGGGTAAAATGTTGGGCCCCTGTTAACAAATTAACAAATCACTCGAACAATAAAAATATTCTTAACACTTCAATAAAAGTCAACAAAACGTACCTGAAAGGAGAATCTGGTCTAGTTTAGTTACTCTTCTTCCCTCTGGGGTGTTCTCGTACTCTGTAACGTCCTCCAATACCATGTTTACAAAATCATCAAACCCTAACAGTACGCCCACAATCTGAAAGGGAGATAAATCTTGTTACTGTTAGTAACTGAAGTAAGTTATACGAAGTTTGGACTCAAGGATTAATCCAAACCTTGGGGATAAATCAAATGATTATTTGTTATATAGTAGTATTGAAAGTATTACTACTTTATATTTTGTACCTCTCTGTCGTTATTCATTGTCATATGCATTCTGCTTCCAATACACTTATCAACCAGCTCCAGTGGAAGGAGTGTAGAGGGGTTAGCTGCTGTGTTGTTGTTGTTAGCAGCCATGGTTACTGTAATGAGTGTGGTTAGTTAGTTAATTACGCATGGTTAATTAGGTGTTAATAGTAATTCATCTCGTCATTAGGCATGTTTGTGTTGAATCAATTATGTTTTTGGGGAAGTGAATATTGCCATATGATTATATTTGTGATAATAGATAAATTCAAAATCGAGAGGAAATGTTTTAGTTTTGATTAATATTGTGTAGCCAAATAAAACAAGGAATTAACACGAAATATGAGTAAAAATGTACATCTAGACACTATAATATTCGCTTTATTATCAAACGATAACGAAATTCTAGGCCAAAACAAGGCTATAAACCTGGCCATAATCCTCATCGTTGTGAAACAAAAAACTTGTCTTTGGGTATAGTACGGGCTGTATGAGACTCAGAAATAAAGTTGAAAAGTGTTGAACAATGGATCAAATTAGATACAGATTAGTTGAGTTCCAAATTTGTATACCTGGTGACATTATACTCACTTTTTATCTCATTGCCAACTGATTCCCGCCTAAATTTCAATCTGTTAGGAGTTTCAAGCTTTATTTTATACTGATTATCTCATAAAGTTTAACACGTGATCTTTAAAGAGTTTCACCTCCCAGCTTAATTACCACGTGACCTCCCAGCTTGATTATCACGTGACCTCTCAGCTTGATTGCCTAAATACTCCCATTATTCATGATTTAAGATCATGCGAATTTAATAATCAACAGTCAAATTGCTAAATGAAGAATAAATAAATGAGGACAGGGGCCGATATAATATATGGTCCATTTTGTACAACACATAATTAATCCTAAACGAAAATATGTTATATATCTTTATGTAAAATTAAATCTAGAAACAATTTTTAGAACATGGATTTAAATTTAACAATACCTTTTAAATCAAACGTTTCAGTTAAAATACGTATTCAAGCCATCTATAATATATCATGAATCTATATAAAACTTCAAGAACTATTCCGCCAAACAATATCGAGGGAATATTTTCGCTAAATCCATTTAAAGCAGTCGCCACTGATTTTATTCAACCAGAAGATATTTCACATTTTCTGTCAATGATAACGAAAAGCATGACAAAAACTGTATATCAAATTCCCATAAATTGAATATATGCAAATCAACGAAGTTCATTGCATGAACTTATTGGTCAGCGGAACAGGGCCTGTATATTCCAGTAATACTAGAACTAAAATACCCCTAAAATTCGATAAATCAATTTGAATTTGGTTTTAACGATAAATAAATTAAAAAAGGCCGGTATATCAATCTATTAAACAATGATAATGATAATCAACGAAGTTCCCAGCCGATAAGAATTTTGAAGTTGCAGGAAGATGGTTTCATGCAGAACATTAGAGCCCAGTTTTGCTTCTAATGAACGTACTGGGTGCAAAATATTCTAAATTTCATCATCTTAACAAAATAAAGTATTAATTGCAGGGTTATTTTTAGAACTTGTATATTGTGAATCTGAAGAAACAGTCGTAGCGCTCAGTTACTCCAATATTGAAGTGTATTTCCAGAGTATTTATAATATAAGCCACCTCTAAAATCTTAATAATTAATTGTAAATTCATACGAAAAAAAGTCTGTGATATCATTAAATTCCTTGCCTTACAAAACAATTAAAATGATAATATTTAAATCTATTTTTATTTTAACGAGTACACAGAAAAAACACGCCCAAAACCATCACTTTTCAGTTACAGTCGAATCAATTGGTTAACTAATCAGTTAATTAATTATTTAATTAATTAATCAGTTAATCGCTGCGTTTATGCGATGTTTGTGAGAGCAAATGACCCAAAAAATTACGAACATTCAATAATTCTACAAAACAATGATACCCTACAAAATAATGCTGAGCGTAAACCATTAGTTTTTGATATTATCAAACTTTGTTATTCTTATAATCCTCATAGTATGGAAACAATTTTTAATAATAACCATCATTTATGATAACTAGTAAAATATGGCTAAGCGAACTAAGTCCAAAGTTGTTTATCTTTCTCAAATCTCGATCTCCCAACGATCAACGACTCGGGGCTAAACTAATCTTTAGTTCCTCTGCAAAACCACGACTGATTAAGTCACGTGACAAGGTCACGCGTGAGTTTGATGACGTCACGTGACATTGGACGCGTGACTCATGGATGTGTCGTATTCAGCAAGCATGAGCTGCTCAAGACTAGGCGAGTTGGTGCCAGGTGTATTTCCCGGTGGGAACGGTGAGGGATTAGCAGGGATCGTTCGGTCGTCTGTTAAAATATCGTTTTTATTTTATGTTATAATTAATAGTGTATACGTGGAGAAACTTTGTGACGGGATATAATTAAAATTACATTACAACAAGCTAAAAGATGACTGACCGGACGAAGCAGAAGGAGATGGCGAGGGAGACTGGGTAAGCGAGGTTGCGGAAGGTACTCTTCTAACTGATACCATCTTTCTCGGGGCTACCATACTTACTGAGGCCTGAGAAAGAAGGGGTTATTATTGCTACCATCTTTCTCGGGGCTACCATACTTACCGAGGCCTGAGAAAGAAGGGGTTATTATTGATACCATCTTTCTCGGGGCTACCATACTTACCGAGGCCTGAGAAAGAAGGGGTTATTATTGCTACCATACTTACCGAGGCCTGACAAAGAAGGGGTTATTATTGATACCATCTTTCTCGGGGCTACCATACTTACCGAGGCCTGAGAAAGAAGGGGTTATTATTGATACCAATTCTTTCTCGGAGGTATTCTACCATACTTACCGAGGCCTGAGAAAAGGAATGGGGTGGGTATTATTGCTACCATACTTACCGAGGCCTGAGAAAGAAGGGGTTATTATTGATACCATCTTTCTCGGGGCTACCATACTTACCGAGGCCTGAGAAAGAAGGGGTTATTATTGGCTACCATACTTACCGAGGCCTGAGAAAGAAGGGGTTATTATTGATACCATCTTTCTCGGGCTTACCATACTTACCGAGGCCTGAGAAAGAAGGGGTTATTATTGCTCACCATACTTACCGAGGCCTGAGAAAGAAGGGGTTATTATTGATACCATCTTTCTCGGGGCTACCATACTTACCGAGGCCTGAGAAGAAGGGTTATTATTGCTACCATACTTACGAGGCCTGAGAAAGAAGGGGTTATTATTGCTACCATTTCTCGGGCTACCATACTTACCGAGGCCTGAGAAAGAAGGGGTTATTATTGATACCATACTTACCGAGGCCTGAGAAAGAAGGGGTTATTATTGCTACCATACTTACCGAGGCCTGAGAAAGAAGGGGTTATTATTGATACCATCTTTCTCGGGGCTACCATACTTACCGAGGCCTGAGAAAGAAGGGGTTATTATTGCTACCATACTTACCGAGGCCTGAGAAAGAAGGGGTTATTATTGATACCATCTTTCTCGGGGCTACCATACTTACCGAGGCCTGAGAAAGAAGGGGTTATTATTGCTACCATACTTACCGAGGCCTGAGAAAGAAGGGGTTATTATTGATACCATCTTTCTCGGGGCTACCATACTTACCGAGGCCTGAGAAAGAAGGGGTTATTATTGATACCATCTTTCTCGGGGCTACCATACTTACCGAGGCCTGAGAAAGAAGGGGTTATTATTGATACCATCTTTCTCGGGGCTACCATACTTACCGAGGCCTGAGAAAGAAGGGGTTATTATTGATACCATCTTTCTCGGGGCTACCATACTTACCGAGGCCTGAGAAAGAAGGGGTTATGAGAAAGAAGGGGCTACCATACTTACCGAGGCCTGAGAAAGAAGGGGTTATTATTGATACCATGTCAAGATATTAATGTATGGTTCATAAAATAAAATATTGAGATAGAAGACCCAACAAATTAGGTTTTATGGGTAAACATATTGCAATCAGCAGTGCTGATGGTTGGTTGAAATCTCCCAGTTTCCTGGGAGGGCGGCTCGAAAACCAGATAAATAAAAGTAGAATCCCCAAAGGGTAGCTACACACCAATTTAAGACTTTATAAAAGGAGGTCACGCACTTATTAAATTGCTGCAAAATGTGTGCTCAGGAGAGGATGAGATAAAATAATATAAGATTTAAGATAAGATATGGAGATAAGATATGTTTCACCCAAGGAACTACTACATACTTGGTTCGTCATGCACGATCGCTATTGGCTGTACAGGGAATAAATCATGCACCAAATAATTTAACAACAAATCATTTTAATTGCTAAACTCAATGTTGTCGATTTGTAATGAACTGATTCATGCGTTAAATAAATAAATCTCAAATCAAAGTGTGCTCAAAGTTTGAGTAACTTAAAATATCCAAGCAATATATCGTTGCTTACAAGTTTTCTGTCGTCGGAGGAATGTTCGTGGTTGACCCTGACAGAGTGTCTAGAGGTTAGAGAAGCTGTGCTGCCCCTAATTCCACTAGCACTCCTGAAATGACCTGCAAACCACACGTATCAGTTGTTTTTCTAAATACGTTTGCTTATTTTTCAGTTCAAAATACAAATTTTCGTCTATTCATCATTTTTGGGTATATAATTTCGACAGAATTGATGTTGTGCAATCACATGACCAATGCGTAATGACAGGAGTAGTGTTAACTGTTCACGTGACCAATGTGATGTTCACGTGACCCCATATTATCCGTATTCCGTACCGGGTAGTGCGGGTGACCTTTCACCCCCCGAGGTAGCAAGAGATGTGTGAGATCGGCTCATGTGGTCCCTGCTGTTCAGACTCTCTTTGCTTGACCTGGGACTCGTGTTCTTCAACTTCGTTAAACTCTGGTTAGAGGAGAATCTGCGGAGGCATAACTTTAATTAATTTATTAAATTGATTAAATCTATAATTTTAATTAACTTCAAAATTAGTTGTCGGATCTTAGGATGTTTTATAAAATGATTTCCATAATATTAGAGAAAATAAGGGGCTTACCGTCCCAGAGTCTTCTCAACATCAAAGAAAGAGCCGGAAACGCTGGATAAACTTGACATTCCGACTCCTGGGACAGAGGAATCAATTAAATCAATTAAAATTTAAGTAATTAATTATTAATTACTACATAATAATAAATCAAAGGATGTTCTGTTGTGCACGGTGATTTTTTAAGTTATTTTATTGAATCAGTTTAGACTGTAGAGACGCAAATTAATGTCGGAAGTTAAGTGTAGTGCAGTCTGTAGCGTAGTACACAGCAATTATGTAATCTTGTTGCTGTCTTCTGTCAAGGTGCATCGCCCCAATATTTAGCCTCATCAGTAAAAGAGATGTCCAGTTTTATGGTGCTTATATCAGACTGTAGCAAAGATTACTTCAGGCAAGTATAGCTCTCTGTATAGGTTTTTTAGTGGGCCGTAAAAAGGATATGACACTTTAATGAAATTTAAGTTCAAAAGTAAAATTTCGGCTGTATTATAATATGTTGATCATAAACGTTTAAAATAAGTTGTGTGCTTTCATGCAATAGATTAAGTTATGGATTGAGTGAGAGATTTAATGATAATTAATTTTTGTTAGGATATAATGATATCGTCCACTTCGTCCAATACAAATAGCTGATCGTAATCTAGTTTCTAGCACCTAGAAAGTTCTAGAGATTAGAAAATATCGGTCTCACCTTTTCCCATTTTTGTTAGAACTTGATAAATAGACCGATACGATGAAAAAGACTGAATGTCAAGACTCAAGTGAGAGACGGAAAATATGTTGAATTATTTTTAAGAGAAAAAAGAAAGATAATAGATCTCATCACGAGTCACATTTTGATAGAATGTTCTGACTGCGTCATTGCAATCTTGAATCAACCGCATCCCAGACATTCTACACAATTATTATATCTATAATTAATAATTTATTAATAATAAATAATTTATTAATAATAAATACATGGTATTATGAACCTCGTGACATGATCAGTATAAGTAGTGCTAGCGATCAAGTTTTGATGCACATTTCACCCAAGCACAGTTTCGTCTGCAGTCGTTCACAACAGTACAGCTGCTAACACTACGGACAAAAATTGTTTGACTTTCAGCAGAAATGTGCATGAAACCCCAACACTAGCACCACAAGAACCCAGTAAGCATGCGAAAGAGAGTAGGAGACGAGCAGCAGAGTGTAGTTGAGTGTGCACTACACTCTGCTACTAGTACTAGAGTAGAGAGGCAATGTGCTATCTTTACTGACTTACTATTCTTGTTCATGATGAGAGCTACACCTAAAGTTACTCGCATTATATACAATCAGAAGGGGGTTTTAAAAAGTACAAACGAAAGGTTTGATTTAAGCAAATCAGTAGGTTATTAGCAAGGTTTTGAATTCATTCTGAAGATGAAGGAGTCAGCTGAGATATCAAAACTCGAAAAGGGTCCATACTGAGATAACTCTTAAAAACAGCTCATGTCAATTCATTCAAACGCCATTCAAGGTAAAAGACTTTTCATGTTAACAAGTCGCGAAGAGAAAATTAACTACCAATATCAATAATTAGTTCTGATTAACTAAAAAAAGCTCGAGAAAGGAAATATTCTGGTCGGTGCTCCACCACAAGGCAGTGAGGAATGTAACAACACAACAACTTACTTGCTGAGGAGGGAGCCATGGAGGCCCTGTTACTCTTCTTCCTCCAGGATTTGGACCTGCTCGCTCGGAGAACTACAGATTTATCTGGTGCGTCTTCCATTAGACCTGGGGATGTTGTCCATTAATAGAACATAATATAACAGTTAACATTAATATTATATCGGGTCTCAATAAGAGGTCTCGATTGCCTAGGCATCAAACCTTGGCAATCGGTAATTTTCCTCTGGCCCGGAGTCAGCTGACCCTAGGGACCAGAGGATAAAGGCGTAGAGACTGTGTGTATCTACAAAAGTGGTTGTTTTTACAAGAGACAGGGCTTGCAACGCAAGGGAAGAAAAACGGGAGAAACAAACGCAAAATGCATAATTAATATTATTATTATTATCTTTAATTTTATTAAATTAAGAGGGTTTTAGAATATTTATCGTAAGCTATGCAGTAGTAAGTTTAGTTGATTGCATTTCTTCATTGATCTATTTTACAGCTTACTATGTAATCAGGGAGACAAGCTTGAAAATGGCTGGAATGGGCCGTAGTCCCCCAGCGAGTAGCATACTGCATAGCATACTGCATAGCATACTGCATAGCATACTGCATAGCATACTGCATAGCAAACCTGTGTTTTATTTCTCAAAGTTCTGAGAAATCCTATAAACGAACCTCGTTCAGTTCCACAGGAAAGGAGAAGGTTGAACTCGTTGGAGAGCACTCTTCTGAGCTCTAATTTCTCTTTAGGCATCAGGAGAAGATCAGCAAATTCCTCAGCATTGAACTGAGTGTGGCACGCTATCAGCGGTCCGTGTATCCCTGGAATGTTAGTGTAATTTAACAAAATTTAGTTTTCCTGGAATGTTGTTATTCTTTAACAAAACTGAATTTCAGACTTTTTGTCAGACACCTGTAATTCATTTCTGAATAAATAAAATCCTTAAGCTTTGTCACCTCAAATTTTCAAGTTAACTGAATATTTTAAAAAAATGTCCAGACTTCAACTGAACTTCGGTGTTATATTTTCCATAGCACTTCTTAGCTATCTACCATTTACGCACTGAAATCTCAGAGAATAGATACATTTTCTTTCATTAAATGGTAAGAAAATGTTACTCCGTTATCCGGAAACATACATTATATTTATCTGGTCAGTTCATAATTAATACGGCTATCCACTAATTCAGTAATTCATCCTCAATTTGATTGTGATCTTATCCACGTTTCTTTAATTAAGCAATCAGTGATCGGGCGCGAGCCAAGAAAATCTTTACAGAAATACAAGGTAGGCTAATTGCGTTGTCGCCTTTAGAGAATTTGTTTTATCTGTAAAAAAAGTATGTTTCTCAGATACAATGTGTGAACGACCAATCGGAAAAGCCCTTTTTAAATTGTTTTTCTGAATTTTTCTGCTTATTGAGCAAAAGCGACACAGTTCTAAATACAAAGCAATTAAGCTTTATCACAACTTTAACTGTGAAACCAGTCATGAAATTCACACATTTTCTTTTTTGTAGCCTCATGTTTCGAATTGGTTGCAGGCGTTACCTTTAACTTTTTGAGCCCAGTACTTCAGAATTTCTATCAGTGCATCCTAAAGTAAACTCGGCTGTGTAATTATCACAGTTAGCACTTAATTATATCATTCTCAGTGCAGTCAGTCTGTCGCCCACGAGAAAGACTGAGTTCCTAACATTCAGTAATCAACTATTTGTTCGTTATCAGTTTAACTCTGTATCTAAGTGAGAAAAACACTGTAAATTCACTACGACTGATTTAAGTGGGTCCCAATCCCCACCGACCATTCTTCTTAGTGTCATGTGTACTTGACATCATCTCCTTTTTCAAACAATCACGGTGTCTTTATTGACTAATCGCATAGCTTGATTTATCACACACAACCACTAATAATATTCAACATTATATATATTAACAATAGCTTTTCAGAGGGTCGTTAACAGTGATGGGATACAACGTAGAGGATCACGAGTGTGCTAACTCCACAACATCCTGCACTTTCGACCTCATTAACGGATACGGTTTAGCAGGGATGGGAGGTGTAGGATTCTTAATGAGCACAGCTGCTATCATCTGTCTACATTTCAACATCATAAAGCTACCCGGATCTAAGAAGATATTTCTGGTAAACGTAGCTCTGAATGATGCTCTGATCGGTTTGATAGCTGTTCCTAGAGGGTTGAGTATCATCTCCCCACACTTCATGGGTGTTAGAGATGATGGGTCTGTGTCCTGGTACTGCTATTTCTTCCCCTTCCCTGCGTACTTTGTATGGGATTCCATTATGTTTACCCTGATACCTCTGACAGCGGATAGATTCATTGCTCTGGTATTTCCTACTAAATACAGAGATCTCATGACTCCAACAGTGAGTAAAGTACTGGTTGTATCCTCCTGGCTTCCTTCTGGAATAATCCATCTCCTTTACGATCCGATAAGATACGCGATTGGGGCAATGGAGGTAAAATATCAGCCATCTTACAACAGATGTGTGTTTGACGTGGAAAGGCTCCTACCGATTCTAACACTGTTAGTTCCCCTTATCGCTATTGGTATTATGTATCTGATCATAATTATATCAATTGTAAAGAATAAGATCCAAGTTGGAAGGCTGTTGATAACTACCTCTGCTATTCTACTAACTGGTGTGATGGTGGCAATGCCCATCATTCTAATGGTCACTGCCAACCTCAGGATGTCTTACAAAGTGGCCCAGATATGTACTATTACTTTATATCACAGCAATTGTATTTTCAATCCAGTGATCTACTTCATAGCCAATCCAAGGATAGCATCCCAGATAAAAGATCAAGCTTCTGAAAGAGGTCGAAGCATGAAAAGGCGAATTACAGTAACCTTGGCGAGGACGGTCAGCGAATTTGATCTTCAGACCTATACTCCTGTTGACCCTGAGGACAAAGATCAACGGCCTCCTAGTTCTAAATGAGGGTGAAATATGCCGGAAGTCTGTTTTGGAGAGATTGGAAATAGTCAACCTAGGATTTTTTGCCTGCAGACTGCTTCGTAGGTATACTTCCTCTAAAAATAACATTTGAGATGATAAAACGGCAAAATCAGACTGTATTAAAAAGTCAAACTAAAAGAGCATTAATAGTTAATACCGATCGAAGATAAACTCTGAACAACAAACATTGATATACAATATTAGACAAGAACTAGTTTAAACTTTAGTTTGTTGTCTGTTCTCTTTAAATTAAAGAGACCAGATCGTGGAGGAGTTCCTTTTTTGAGTATTATTATTATTAAGCGAAAAACTTATTATCGTGATTTTCGATTTTGATTGTTGTATTTTTTATTTCAAATTGCGAGCCTTTTGCAAATTTTACTTTTAAAATTGTGTCTCGAGATTTCATATCTCTCCTTATCAGCACTTTACAATAATGATCACTCAAATACGACCGAAATGATAAGAAAACTAGTGGTACTTAAACGAATAAACGAAACCTCAATATTGATATAAGATAATACAGATAATATAGATAAAAGATAACAAAATGGTAGTTACCTGAGCTGGTAATGTTGTTGGCGTACATGCCAAAACCGACACTCTGTAACCACTCTTTAACCCTCTGGTTTGTCCAGACCATCACATCAGTTTTAGTTAACTTGGACTCCATCCTCCTCCTGTAAAATTAACAGTTAGATGGATGTTTATAATAACTAGCAGCAACCCGTATCTAAAATTCCTATTCCTTGGCCTATTTTTTATTTTTTCATGCTGATTTGGAGGCCATTAAAGCTAGTAAGTTAACAGTTAGATGGATGTTTATAATGGTTATCACTATTAATAAAGGCTTATGTTTGACAGCTGGCTGTTTAATTCTTTATAATGGTAAAACGTCGACTTTATTTAAAACTAAAGCGAAAATGGTGATCCGCAAAGTTGCAGAAACTGGAGATCCTTTCTTCCAATCTTTAAAAACCTGGCGAAAATTTAAACAAGCATAAATTACCTGTCAATTTCCTCCATGTTGTAGTTGAGTTTCTTCAACATTTCAACAGCAAAGTAAAAGCTTGTGCGGTGGAAAGGGTCTGAGAATTTCAGGGTCTGTCGGAGGTCCTTCTTCGTAAGATGGGATAGCATCCTGAAATAAAAACATTTTCGTTAAAACATTTGCATCAAGCTGAATGATAAAGAATACGAATTCAGTTTTGGCGAGTGTTCAATGTTCATGATCGATAAAAAGCTTAACACTTAACAGTCAGGAATAAAATCAGGAAATACGCAATCAAACAGTCCACCTCCAATTTGAATTACAAAAACAGTGAATATAAACAATGTTACTACCTGCCATCCACCAGGTTTTCCAAGAAGAGACCCCGATGTTGAGGAAGCCCAATACTTGGGAGCCATGTATCTGCTACCCACACATGTGTGAGACGCTCGAAGGAGGGCAGGCCGACTGGGGCCGAGGGGGAGGTTTGGTTTACCATCTCCTGGATTGCTAGTCGGAACTTCAGCCTGGTGAAGGATGTGGTGTAGAGCGGGTGTATTGCTGGTGTATTGTTTTATACCCATGGTGCGCTTTAATGTTTGAGATAAATTTGATCTGTTAAATAGCGTGCCGTTTTTCAACAGTTTATTTTTTTTCCAGATCTCTGTCTCTCTGAAAACTAAGAAACTATTGACAAGCACTTTTTCATTGTTTTATTGTCTATTATTGTTGTCTATTTTTTTTATTGCATATTATTATCTAGATTGTTCTAAACCCCTTTTCTCAACGTTCTCTAAAAACAACTTAGATCATAAGCAATATGATTAAGTTTTTTTTTTCATAATAATAAATAATATGAGGAAACCTTTTCGTTCTTAACCATGTATTGCAGATCCTAACCACATGGAAAATAATAAAACAATTATGTAATTATATAATTATAATTATATATTATATAATTATAATCATTGTAAGCAGCTGGTGAGCGTGTTTTTTACACGTTTCCTTTTTATTGGTCTCAACACCAATAAAAAGAGATAGAGCACTCTGAGAAACTGATGTTGTAATTTTAGTGATTCAAGTTATGCCGATTATAAGTTTCAGGATGAACGCCCCGCAAACTACACCAGAAATGGATATCATCTTGAAACTCTATACAGAATTTATGAGATATGATGAGTATTGAGTATCAATTAAAAAGATAGAATAGATATTTCCTTGTTGTTACTAACCGGTGAAGGTAAGAAGTGATACCCATTTCTCTCTGAATCTCGTTGTCTGATAAGGCACTCATTGCCGCACCGGATCTTATTTTCGACCTGTGACGGTATACAAATGTAAAACATTGGTAAAAATGTAAAATTTTCTACTTTAATAATAATGCTGATTTTAACTTTTTTTAATCCCACAACGTAAATTTAAAGAATTTAAAACAAAACTATGCTAAAAAAGTAAGTACCGGCAAGTGGTGACCAGCCAGGCGGGAGCCCCGACGTAAACCTCCAACCAGGCCAGTATCATATCCGGGTTCCACAGGGCGAAGGGTAGGCCCCTCTGTCGGGCTGATAGGTACAGCTGTTGTCTGAGGAGAGTTGATGGGTGAGATTTAACCTTAAGTTGGGTAGACCATTTATACAAAGTCTCATTCACAATGCTTTCGTGCACTCCCTATCACACAAACCAGTCACGCGTTCATTCAATCACACATTAGGCTCTCATTAATTAGGCACATCAAAACACACATCCCACAATTTCACATTTATTGAAGTCATAATAAGCGGCTGTAAGTATTTTCTTGGTTTCGGTATCAGGACTTCAGGACACCGGAGTGCAAGAATAAACTGTATTTAATTGAGAAAATATGAATACAACTGTCGACTTAAAACAAGCACTTCGATACTTCTCATAACTTTATGTTAGTGGTTTTAAGTGGTTATCAGCAGTCAGTCACACTTAGCGATGAACAATAGCCTCGACACGTGAACGTTGACAGACGAAAATAACGTTTTATCATTTTCATGTTGAAAGAGCGTCTAATATAACGCCACTATAAATTATGATATGTTATATCGAAAGTCCTTTAATTCACCTTTAATTCACCTTTAATTCAGCTCCAAAGTTTAGTCCCATAATAAATTAAAGTTCAGACAGTTATTAATATCTGAAAGATACAAATGACTAAAACATCGACCCAATTTTCAATGAACTATGTGCTCTGAAACCAAAAATGACCCTGAATAATAGAAAAACTGCAGCAGGGACCGCCGGATAATTTGAAAACAGCAGCCGCTACATCCGGGCACATTGAAACTTGTTGGCCAAATTGATTCCATAAACATTACTCATTTTTTTGAAATCAGTCTTAGAACTACAAGATTTTTTAAATTAAATACTTTTCAAACTTTACAGAGTACAGCAATTATAACGAGAATTTAATTTTGTATCCCAGCTCTTTGTACTGGGATAATAATTAATAAGCAATTAGGTAAGGTATGGCCACCATACGGCCTCAACACAGCCTCTCTATTCTGGAATTCAGCCCGGTTCAAATTTTATGTAGTAAGTAATGCTCACAAAATGTTCACTGCCGGCGGTACACGTTTATCAAGACGTGCAGCACCTCCCTAACAGTAGTAGCGAAAGCAATCACACATAGACGCCTGAACGTGATAGCTACAAAAAGTAAAGCAACAGATGCGAACTTGTAACACTCACTTCTCTCGTTCACGACGCGTTGTTGGCATGTTTAAACTGTGAATTTGTGTATTAAGGGGTCGTTCATATATTACGTAATCACCTTCCTCTTCCCTCTCTCCGTAATCAGCTTTATACATAGATATTGTGTCAAAATCGTGCACTATAGCGTAATCAATTAGAGTACCCCCCTCCCCCTCGGCTGATTACGTAATAATATGTGAACGACCCCTAACTCTGTTGTTGATAAGTTAATTTTAATTGGTTGATTATCTCTCTCAAATACAATTAATCGATTCATTATAAAATAAAAGTAAGACTTATTTTGACAATCTAAGTTGTCCTAACAAAGTAAATCAACTAACTTAAAAAAGAAACTGCAATAAATAACTAAGTTTACAAAATAGAACAAAACATAAACTAACTTGTTTTTCCAGCGTCTGTCAGTTTCCTTGCTGACAGGAGAAGACTCCTCCTCTCTGATAGGATCTGATTTCCTTTTTCCAAACACTCGTTTTATAGTTCCCTTTAGACTCCCTCCCGTGTGACGTTTCCTTCGCAGAGTATCACTCCCTGAGATATGGGATTAGTCACGTGACATATTTTGTATGTGACGGGTAGAAATTATTTTCAAACCTGTATGCTTACAGTCGAATCTAATTAACGCTTTTATTCTTTTTCTGAATTTCCAGAAGAGCAATTTATTGATTGAAACTTGTAGAAATTATAGGGAGTTTTTAAGTTTTATCAACCATGGCCATAATTAAAATGAGCTGAACTTTTATAATTAAGATAAAGCTGCCGAGAAGAATGCATGGTCCATGGATTGCTATTAATTATAGTAGCATGCATATTGGATTGATGTTTAAGTTATGTACAGTTTATCTGTACAGATTTGCAAGTCATACTGTGAGACTCAATAATTTCCAGAGCCAAAAATCAAGGGATAGGCTAGCACTCAAAAAAAGACACCATCACACACTACAACACGTGACTAGAACACGTGACTAGAACACTAGAGCACACAATCTGAACTAACCATGCAGCTCTACTACACTCACTTTTACCACCTGTCACGTGCTTACCACGTGGGCGTTTCATACTTTCTACCCACAACCTGACACATGCATCTAAACCCAAATCTGGGTGCGATAACGTGAAAATACCACAGGAAATTATTATGTAATTATAATGAATAAAAAACCCAAATAATTAATTTTTTACATATAATGAGGTCCCACTTTGTCACATGAAAAATCATGCCCCGTTACACTTGCTGACATAACATCACGTGTCATTATCACGTGTCATAATTTCCACTTACCATCTAGCTCGATATCATCTTGAGACAGGTCAACAATCTCCGAGCTACTCCGAGAGTGAGGGATGTAATTTGAGGATGATCTCGAACTTTCCAAACTTGCAGCAGATGACATCGAGTCTCTGTTTGAGTCTCTGTTTGAGAAACTTTCTCCAGAATCCGAGGCTGAGGTTTGAATAGTTGATGAAATTATAGCTTTTCGTGATTATAATCCCAGATAATGACCTCAAAACGTAAAATTGGATCAGTATCATGATAGATTCACGTTTAAAATAAGGTCACAATAAAAAACCGGTCACTAACCGAGGCTCCCCACATCGCCATTAGCTCTACCGTTAATTTCTACAGCAGCATCCTCTTCCGGAGGGTGTAGACTCAGAAGATCAGCAAACGCGTCCTTCAACTCCCCATCGAGTGACTCAACCTTAGGTTGTGATGTCTGAGTCAGACTGTTAGTGGAGGCAAGCTAAAACAGATTGGTGGGAGTATTGGGTGGGGTTCAGGGAGTGGTGCGGGGTCATGTTCAGACTTAAGGGGAGGGGTTTAATGGCACATATAATTCCACTGTAAAGAATTTCTAGATAAATAATCAAGTTATCAAGTAGAGCAAATACAGGATATGTGAAATTTCGATGTTTTACGGGAACGGATAAGTATTTTTTGTATTTTTTGTGAACCCGATAATATAACATCAATATCATCAAAATTAAATGTTAAGTAAATCAGCAATTCTTACAGCAGCTTTAGTAGTAGCTTCTCTTTTTAGAGATTTGGGAGACGGGTTCTTTTTGTTCAGATCCCTTGTCCAGTGGGATGTATTTACCTGAAAAAATTAATTTAATACTCCTGCAGATGATTCTTGCACCCCTAACCACTGGTGAAATGGTTAGACATCAGTTAAGCCGTCTTCAAGCAGTTAAAAGATTCACATACTGTAGTTTGACACGCACAAAAGTTCCAAAACTAAAGTTCGCAAGAAATTACCCTTGTCGAACTTCGGTGCGTGTCAAACTAAAGTTCAGGTAGCGCACTAAAATTTGTCAAACTATAGTCCGTGTACCCAATTAGAAGTAGCCTGTAGGTAGACTTTATATAATTTGTAAAACTGATCAACCGACTATCATTTAAGGGGGAGCACTATGATAATTAATAAAGTATTGTTAGCTGACAGACGGACCCTGTGAGATTTCCGTTTTGAAAGGAAGAAAGAAACCTAATTTGCCTCTGTCCGATAATATTCTTGCGGAGCTTTGAATAAATTATTAGCAATTCGCTAACAATGCTTTATCAATTATTATTCATCATTTTCTTTCTTAAACGATGATTGGCTAATCAGTTTAGCAAAGACCTAGTGTCTTTAAGACACTATTTAAAGGCCAGTTTCGACTAGCAGTAGATTGTAGTTGAGTATGTATTGCTTTGAGATGGAAACTGTTCCTAATAACTGCATTCATACATTCATATACGACTTATGAAGGATCATAATATGCACTTAAATGCTTATCGCTAGAGATATTGGCAAAAATCAGTTGTTTTAGCTGAACGAATATTACTATTATTTAGGTATTGTTTTTTCTCCATTTTTTCGCTAGAATCATCAGGATGACGTTTGTGGCAGTGACATGAGTGTTGTAATCTGTTTTTAAAGGTTTTAAAAACAAGTCTTCATGATCCATGGTTGTCAACTTAGTCTCATTAAAGGAATTTTACCAAGCATACCTTTAAAAGGTCCTTGTAATTTTATACATGGCTATTCATGGAAATTTGACTGTTAGATAATCTTGGCGACGGTAAAGGTGCATATCAAAGGACTGCAAATCACAAGTGCCATGTTAACGCAGAAATGTCTCTTGGCACCAACATTTTCTTGCACAAAAACCTGGTTATTATGGAAATTTGATTCGTAGGTCTTACTGCAAAAACTTCCTCTAGGCACCGTGCATATCAAAGGATAAACTTCTTTGCTCAATTCTTTATTAAACAAATGTTTAGTGCCATGTTAACGCAGAAATGTCTCCTGGGCAAAACATGTTCGCACAAAACCTGGTTATTATGAATATGGAGCATAGTACTCAGCCTCCTGCGGGCCAATAACGGACATGGAATCAAGTCACGTGATTCAGTGATAAGGTTTTATTGGATAGATATTCTGAATAATTCTTGTACTTCAAGTAATTGCTCATCTTAATTCGACCTGGTTAGTTAGTAAAACATTAAAAGTAACATCCCTCTGAATCCCCTGGCCCTTGATTATCTTGTGGCACAGTATGATTCTTGTACTTCAAGTAATTGCTCATCTTAATTCGACCTGGTTAGTTAATAAAACATTAAAAGTAACATCCCTCTGAATCCCTTGGCCCTTGATTATCTTGTGGCACAGTATGATGGGTTGCACTGCCCGTTACACACTTTGACTTACGGTATGCCCATTACAAGTTGTTCTTACAATTGAAACCCCTATCTCGGATAGTTAAGTAACATGTTACATGCCAGGTCTTTTGGTTCGGATCTCAGGGCCCAGTCTGATGTCAGGTTACTAGGTTACATGCTGGGTCCTTTGATTCGGATCCTAGGGCCGGATCCAATAGCAGGGGACTAGGTGAGCAACCCCGTTCTTGCCAAATCAAGCCAATATTTGGATTTTGTTCCACAATTAATAATTGATTAAGGTTCAATAATACGAATAAATATTCATTTTGAACGGTATACCAATATTTACTTTGATCTGTCAAAATCTTCTCTTCTAGTTGATGTCAAAGTCAACAAACTTAATAAATGTGTAACTTTGTATATATATGAATGTGATTATCGCGGTTATTTTAAACCTATCACCGAGTCTGTCATATTTTTCTAGCAGATGTGATCAAAATGTAGACCAACAAGTTGGTACAAGTTGGCACTCCGCATTCTTTTCCGTGATTGCTAACTCGGCTAACGATGAGAAGAGCTAGTATGGGTGTCTTCCCTCATCTTCTGATTTTCTTGATGGCGAAACATGATGTCATCAACTCAAGTAAACCTTTGACAGTGATTTAAGTCTTCTTGAAAAGTTCCATAAAAGCCTTATTGGAAGATAACACCGAATTATACTACTGCACGCTGAACTTCAGTTCTGTATCACTTATACTCAACTTACTAATAAAATGTTTTCAGGACAAGTTGAACCCGCATCAGTGTCCCAAGTTAGCACTTGGAGTACTAAAAAAGCGGAGCTGGCTGTAGACGGTAACCTGGAAACAATTTCTGAGACCCGGGGGGGTTGGGACAAAGAAGAATGGTTCAAAATGAAGTTTGATGCTTTCATATGCTTCTCTGAAGTGGTCATCATCCAGTCTCATCTCGATTGGAATGCGTATCGTATGCAGGATGCGAATGTGTTTATAGTCAACACAGATAAGTCTGAACTGAAAATCTCTGCGGAGTTCTCAAAGTGAGCCCTGTTATGACTATCGATGGACAAACGTACCACATTCCTTGTCATCTGAAGTGCGGAAATGAAGTGAAGGTGACTGTGCGACATGACCATTCCTATGACAGACATGCAGCTATTCACATGATAGAAATAATGGCATTTACAAGACCCGGTATGTCTTGTAGGATCAGTGGTAAATTAGGGGGGGGGGGGGGGGGGGGGCCAACGCCCCAAAAGGCCCCGATTTCTAGGGCCCTTTTTGGATTTTCGATGCGTCTATGGCCTTTTGGGGCCCTAGAATTAACTTCAATTTCATCAAGTTTGATATATGCTAAGTGCTTTAATGATATTATCTGACTACTTGCACAGTACTTTTATGTTTATTTGAGTGTATTTACATGGAGATTATGGTCCATAAACACTATCAATTAGTGGTCTGGGTCAAAAGGCCCCAAAAAGCCCCGATTTCTAGGGCCCTTTTCGGATTTTCGATGTGTCTAGGGCCTTTTAGGGCGTTGGCCTCCCCCCCCCTAAATTATCATCAAGTCACTATTACTGTTCAGTTTTGATATCAGACTGGCTCTGATAGAACTGAAAATTTAACAAAGATATCTCGACAAAATCACCACGATAACTGTAAATTGTAAAAGTTGGAAAAGATTCAATATATAATTGTTTGGGGATGATTGGTAAATTATCAATATTACTATTGCCCTAACCCTACCCCTACCCGTAACCCTAACCCTACCCCTAACCCTAACTCTAACCCTAACCCTAACCCATACTAACTCTGATACAACTGAAAATGTAACATAGATATCTCGACAAAATCACCATGATAACTAAAAGTTGGAGAAGATATCATGGGTTTTTATATTTTAAACGAACAATGATGGTGTGTGTGTGTGTGTGTGTGTGTGAGTGTGAGTGTGAGTGTGAGTGTGAGTGTGAGTGTGTGTGTGTGTGTGTGTGTGTGTGTGTGTGTGTGTGTGTGTGTGTGTGTGTGTGTGTGTGTGTGTGTGTGTGTGTGTGTGTGTGTGTGTGTGTGTGTGTGTGTGTGTGTGTGTGTGTGTGTGTGTGTGTGTGTGTGTGTGTGTGTGTGTGTGTGTGTGTGTCCTTAATTAACTGATTGCAGTCAAAATAATAATTAACTACTAATTACTCTACACATCACACCCTGAATTATTATACGAAACTATTAGAGTATTAGTTAGTCAATGACGTAGTTCTGAGTTTCACTTGTCTTCAGTCATGATCATGAACAAATATGAAAAGTGTCACCATGATCTGGGATCCCAGCTCCGTGACAGAAACCCAAAAAGTGGCGAGGAATCTGGTCATGTGACTTGAAAATGCCAAATGGCGATATCTTGAACAAATTTTGAAAAAGAAAAATTACCTCTGGTTCGAACCTGAGTCTTTCTTTGCTATGGTCAGTATTTATCGATAAAAATAATCCTCCCGACCGGATATACACTCGAGTTAAATGAAAAACATTCCACAAAACGTAATATGGCAACAAAACCGATCATAACCATAATGTATGTAGTTCCAATATTTATTGCACGTTCTCATATTCGTTACCATGCAACTTTCTAATCCAATTTATACGTGGGAGGTCCCCGACAGACGAAGAAAATCTCCGAATTATATGTTATATATAGTAAGTAATGTTGTAGTAGAGGGAGAGCTGAAGAAGCTAATGAGTTAAAATGCACGGTATTTCGGAGCATAAATCACTGTTCAAATCTGCTGAGTTGAGGTAATTTTTAATTTTTTCTTCACGAACATTTTTCGTCTGTGCTACAAAATCCTCTAAATATTAATGATCCGTGTTCTAATATGCTGTTCGATAGTGTTCTCTATTTTTTTTACGAACAATGATATTTCTAAAATTGTCCTTTAAAGACCAGTTCATATCATGAGCGTTATTAGAAAAAATTTCGTATTGGTCAAAAATCGCCGATCTAAAGAGTTTAAAATATAATCCACGAGCTAATATATGGCATGATTTGCTGTTTGCGTTTTTAATGGATGATTAAGTATTTAGGAATTTACCAATATTATAGAAATGATAAGTGTTGAGCAGTCTAGAAAAGATCTAATAAATATGACTTTTAAATTATTTTACGAACTATGATAGTCCTAAATTATCGTTTATAGACCAGTTCATAAGCATGGACGGCGGTCACGTATTAGCCGAAAGCCAAGATTATAAAATGAAGCATATGATGAGGTGGTTCGTTTTATCGTTCATTTATTTCACAAACATATCTTGGCGTTTGAATCCTTTTTAAAGGATCTAGAATTATGACAAGAAGAGCCATAAGAGAGCTAGAGCTTTTCCCTTTTTTATTTTTTATTTTTTCTATGATAATCACAAATTATAGACCAGTTCATATGCAATATGCATATACATTTACTATTTATTATAGACGACAGACAGATTATAAAATCAGTTATTTCTTTATACCAACGAATTTATTTTACAACAACATTTTGGCATTTGATCCCATATTAAAGGGTCTACAAGTAATGTTATATTATGAATGTGATTATCGCGGTTATTTTGAACCTATCACTGAGTCTCTCGTATTTGTCTAGCAGATGTGAGCAAAATGTAGACCAACAAGCCAACTTGGTCATCTTTTCCGTGTTCCTGAACTCGACTAACGATGAGAAGAGCTAGTATGTGTGTCTTCCCTCATCTTCTGATTTTCTTGATGGTGAAAAATAATGCCGTAAACACAAGTAAACGTTTAACAGAGCTTTGTGCGATTAAAGTTGTTTTTTTTTTAATTTCGTAATTTATACTGAATTAAAGAACAGCACCCTAAAATTTATATCTGTTGCGCTTATACTCCATCACTCACTAAAATGTTTTCAGGGAAAATTGAACCCGCATCAGTGATCCAAAGCAGCACTGTTGATTGGTACGGCAAATTCGACGCGGAGCGTGCTATTGACGGTGATCTGGAAACTAAATCCGAAACCCTGAGTGGATGGAACACTGACTTGTGGTTCAAAATGAAGTTTGATGATGTATTATGCTTCTCTGAAGTGGTCATCCTCCAGTCTCATCTCAATGATAACGCTTTTCGTATGGAGGATGCGAAAGTATCTGTAGTCAACACCGATAAAGGAACTGAAAATGTCTGCGGAGTTCTCAAAGTGAACCGCACTTATACTATAGAGGGTCAGACCTATAGAATCCCTTGTCATCTGAAGTGCGGAAATGAAGTGAAGGTGACGTTGCGACACGACCATGGTCTCTACTGGTTAATCGCCTTGATTCAAATAAAAGAAATAATGGCCTATGGTAAAGGTATGTCGAGGGGATTATTTTTAATTGAGATTTCAGTTTAAATGCATGGCTGAAAAATAGTGTACAAAATGTATCAAGCAGCTACTCAAGTCATCGAAATAAATATTGATTCCTATGATATTTTTTGTCTAAGCGGATTCGCTTTTAAGTGATGCAGTTGTTTGTAGCTGAACATTTTCATCTCACTCTTCAAAACAACTCTGACATGGCTAGCCTACATTGCATCCATATGAGCGGTATACAAGAAAATTATTTTGTTTCCCATTCTAAAATCTCCAGACAGCATGGGTACGGGGGTAAAAGTAAGAGGGATTTATTTCGGTGATAAATTATCAATATTACTGTTCAGTTTTGATATCAGACTAGCTCTGATACAACTGAAAATTTAACTTAGATATCCTATCATGCCTTACTTTAAAAAAAACACCATTTTCTACCTGTTAGGTAATAGGCTCAGAATCAAGTTCAAAATAGCACTTCTAGTCTGCAAGTTTTTGAGAGAAGTTTCAGACTAGATAACGACTTTTATTTGCTGAAAGTTCCTCCTGCGCCACATTTCAGACGAACCAAAAATTTGGAATGAACTACCAGGTACTCAGTGAGAGCATTATCAACTGTAGACTGTTTTAAAATGCCCTAAATATATTTTATTTTCACCTAAAATGTTTTAAAATGCCCTAAATATATTTTATTTTCACCTAAAATGTTTTAAAATTCCCTAAATATATTTTATTTTCACCTAATCTTTTGATAATATTCCTAAGATTTTGTTTTATTTATTTATTAATTGTTCCAACAAAATCACCATAATAACCTTTAAAGTTGGCGACTCCTAAAAATCCTTTAAAACAGAAACACAGCCACGTAGGTCTGATATGACTAAAGAATAAAAACAGCAAATTATGAACTAAAACTTTCTACATGGCCTGTGAATTTCAAAATGTCCGAAATATGTTATGATAAAATACTTCTTTACATTTGGAGGAAACGCTGTCTCCCCAAACACAAAGCCAGCCTGAACAAGCCAAAACAATAAAAAGAAGGCCTACCCTGGTGATAGATATCGCCACCAGAACAATAAAAAGAAGGCCTACCCTGGTGATAGATATCGCCACCAGAACAATAAAAAGAAGGCCTACCCTGGTGATAGATATCGCCACCAGAACAATAAAAAGTAGGCCTACCCTGGTGATAGATATCACCACCAGAACAATAAAAAGTAGGCCTACCCTGGTGATAGATATCGCCACCAGGACAATAAAAAGAAGGCCTACCCTGGTGATAGATATCGCCACCAGAACAATAAAAAAAGGCCTACCCTGGTGATAGATATCGCCACCAGAACAATAAAAAGTAGGCCTACCCTGGTGATAGATATCGCCACCAGAACAATAAAAAGTAGGCCTACCCTGGTGATAGATATCGCCACCACAACAATAAAAAGAAGGCCTACCCTGGTGATAGATATCGCCACCAGAACAATAAAAAGAAGGCCTACCCTGGTGATAGATATCGCCGCTGAAGAAGTTTTTGTTGAACTCGTTCTCCAGTATCTCTGACTCAGTGTGGTTATGGACCATTGTCTCGTTGAATTTGGTTGCGTCTGAGGAACCCCTTCGCTGGAGATCTCTCCTCTTCGTGAAGGAACTGAAGAAATTTAGACATAAGATCATATTTCCTGAAAAACTTAAAACTGAAGAAAAAAATTAAATCTTTCAAAAACATAAAAATATGTCTTTAAAAACATGGTACATTATATTCATTTAGTCAAAAATTTGGCGTTGAGAAAGCAATTTATAATTTAACTACAATCTAAAATAACTATAATTAAAGTTAATATTTTAATGAACAGTGTAAACCTGGATCTGCCGACACTAGCAGAACGCCTGGTTGCAGTAGGAGTAAGAGGAACGGATGGTGTGGTGGGGTTCGTTTTATCAGGTGTAGCCGGGGTAACCGGGGTAACCGGGGTCGCGTTGTTGGGAGGAATCTGGTATATGTTGTTATTAGGAGGGGGGGGGGGGGGGGGGTTTACTCGCGCAATTTTCCGATTTCCCGTTTTTGTTATATTTTGGAGAAATCACGAAATGTGTTTTTAAGAGTTATTGAGCTCGTATTTTGTAAAAGAGGTATTTTTATGAGTATGTACACCGAGATAAACGACCATTAACGGAAGAATTAGGGAAAATGTTTACGTTTACTTTCGTTAATTAACTTGTTATATTATTTCCGACATAATTGTAGTCAGTCAGTCATATACATTATACAATGTTTTGAGTTGTTATCATTACATTCATGTTATTTTTCTTCTGGGACACTGTTACATAATACGTTATGAAAGTATTATTGTAAATACTAATTAATCATTAATGATTAATTAATTATTTTATCGGCTGCTACTAGAATTAGCATTACTTGATAAATACCAAATTTTCAACATTTAACATCTGTAAACCACGTCATGGTTACTACGTTATGGGTACTACGCCATGGTTACTACGTCATAGTTATTACGTCATGGTTACTACGTCATAGTTATCACGTCATGACTAGGAAACGTAGTCTGCTACCTTGAGTGAGGGACGGTTGTGTCGGTTGTTATCACTGACTCTCTCCTCAGCTGTGTGTTGTCCCTCGCTCTGTGTAGCCGAGAAAGGTCCTGTCGTTATTACCTAAGAAAATATATATTTAGAATTTATATTTTAGAATAAAATACACGATTCAAATTTCAAATAAATAATTTTATAGATTTTCAAAAAAAGGTTTGAATTTGTTGACGTGTTACAATATGGGATAAATGATCAGGGTTGTATGCTTAAACCAACTTAAGGGAACTAAAGGTGATATCTAACCTTGGTTTTGTTGTATTTGAGCATCTCGGCATTAACCGCACGTAACCCATGCAGCTCAGCTACCATGATCCCCTGGGAATTAAGTCAAAGTTAAAATCTATATTATAGTCAGTAATATATACTGAGATATTCAAATAAATATACAGTAAGCACCTTATTCGTCATCTTTATTTAAGTACTGAGATTAATGGTTTTTATGGTACTATATTTCATATAAGTGGTATTGCAAGACATGAGTCGTTTTCATCAACACGTAAACTAATAACCCAAAAACCAACCTTCTCATCTTCAAAACTAGCACTTTTAGCTCTTAAGGTCTCAAGTTCATCTTGTAGATTATTTCTGGCGTTGATCAAGTTTTGCTTCTCTTCCCTGAAAAATAAATGGATAGAAAATCATATTTTGTAAACTCCAAGAAAAATTCACATGGGCAGGCGAGACAACATTTTCTTGGCAAACTAAATCAGAGTTTACACCTAGTTTCTTGCAGCCAAAGTTTTTCTCATTTCACCTGAAAGTTTGCTGCTGAGTGTTACTCTCCTGGAGCAGCTCCTCTATTGTCTCTGATAACCTCGTCACTTTGTCGTCTTCATCTCTTACCTGATGAGACGTAAATTATTAGTCATTGTTAATAATAAAATAATTAGTTAATTAATTAATTAAATATACGATAATAACGCAATAACACTCCATTTTTCTTTGCCCGACCAGGTTTTGAAAGATATTGACATAATCCATGTTGTTAATTTAAGTTATCAGAAATTCACCTTGGATAGATTTTTCTTGGCCGTGTAGAGCTCTTGCTCAATTTCACTGTAATTTTCAAGTTTCTTTTTTATCTCGTTGTACTCCGTTATTGATATTGGAACTGATTCGGGGGTTGATTCTTCTGACTTGGCTGCCATGATCTGAAACAGATAAGATGTGTAGAGTAGAGTTTAACAATATTTAACATTTTCACATAAAACCTATTTATTCAAAATGAATGCAAAAATAAAAATATTCGAGCACTTCCAGCAATTTAAGACATCAGTGTTGCAAGCCGCCGCTGCCGATGTTAAGAAACTGCGTAATCAGTTATCAGCGTACACGCCGATATATAAACCATATTATCGACTATCAAATGGGATAGGGTGAGACCATTAAGAACCTGTCATTCTAACCAATATATACGACGTCACAAAGAAATGAACATACTACCTTGAAGCACCGTCTACACCGCCTTACGGTGACCGGTGTGACCGTTGGAAATTCGGGTAGTTCCGACATCTAAGAACCAAATAAGACGAATTTTAAAACATGTAAAATATCATCGAAAACAAGAAATTCTACCTAGCGCCGAGGAGATTGATCTATAAGAGGGTACAATGCACATGGTTTATGGAATTCTATTGTTTTTTAAATGTAAAGTTGACAACTGGTATCTTTGGAATTTGACAGATTGTTGTTTGTCCATTAGTTGACGTGAATGAAGACATTTAATTTAGAGTTCATGTATGTGTGTAAGACTGCTGGCCCTAAATTCCTCAAGTCGGTAAGTCTCATCTGATTTGCATTTAATGAACAAGGGTAAGAAGAAACAATAATAGCGGGTGCCAATTAATCTCTGTTAATGAAGATAATAGGAAAGAACAATTCCACACTACGTTCATGAGAACTGGGAAATTTTCAAATCACAAGATTTTTTCATCTTCAAATCACTCGACCTCACACGGATACGCCGCCGCACAATATCATCACCCTGCCGTTGTTTTCGGAAAAAATCAGCGGCGTGCAAAACTGCTGGACAGTGGACATGCTTCAAATCAGTACAGGTAAATTTAAGAATAAAATCACTAACCATGTCCCGTTCACCAAGAAGCAGATCCCGCTCCTCGCTCAATTCCCGGTACGCGATCTGTAGTCCCTCGTGCGCATCATGCAGCTGTTCAACCTCGTTAGATAACTACAGAGAATTTGTTGTTTGGAGAATAGTCATGTGGTTGTGACATTGAAAGTTTGAAAATATTCGATATCAGAGAGATAATAATAAGTTTACAGTTACACCATAAGCTAGCCAGTGCTCAGTGCAGCGCTGTTAATTTTGTGTGGTCAAGGTTTTGTGGACCATTACAAAAGATCCCAGACGGTGCTAGGGTAATTTTGAGACTGTTTTAGTAAAAAACTGAGACCTGTTTTTGTATCTCCCGGCTGTTGTCGAGATCTTGTGAGATCAAGTTGTATTCCTCGTCCATCTCTGTTATCCTGAGGGAGAAAATATGTAACTCACAATATAATTGGTCAGTTTGTTTGTTAATCATTCCAGAGAATTCGATTGATTCAAAGAAAGTTCTTTAGCACACCGCACCATGTGTTCCACACAAATAGTTATAAATCCTAAACATTATTTTCACATACCTATCGAGACATTCGTCTCGCTGAGCATAGAGGTCCTCCATCTCAGCCAGTCTCTGCTCCAACTCATCTTGTGTCTCTACTAGTCTCTTCGTTCCTTCTTCACACTTTGTGCACTGTTGAGATAAGGGTTATTATAAGTAAAAACTGGAGAAATAAAAGTTTGCCTTTTAAAGTTCTTGGATAACATTGACTTCACTCACGTAGAGAAATGCCAGCTGAATTTGGCCAGCTCTGCCATTCAAAATTAACGGCTCTAACCTTAGACAAAAGAAGGTTGCTATCAGCAGCACTGATGAGCCCGTTGATGTTGCCATCCTTCTGGGCTGCAATCACAATGTTCTTCAGAGCCTCACATTCCTCATCTTTGTGTGCCAGTTTCTCCTCCATTCCCTGTTTCTCTTCGGTTACCTTTCGGCATCTCTCACGCACCTGCAAGCACCAGAGTTACGCTATTTTATGTTATTTCTACTTTTCTAGAAATGGTTGCCTCCAACTTCAGGAGCCAAAATAATGTGTCACCCCAAATATTAGTGTGTCAATAATTAACTTATCAAGATAATTCAGACGGACCTTTTCATCGAGAGCTTTGTGGTGTTCGAAGAGAGATTTGAGAGCTTTGAGCACCTCCACCTCGCTGCTAACCCCGCTAGGCTGCTGCTGTCGTCTGACAACTGTCACTCGTAGTACTTTCTCGTGTCGAGCTACCAAACATTCGAGGTGCTCCAACAACAACTGAAATATGGTCAGGTTAATTTAACAAACTAACTAAATTATAAATTAGATCGATAAACGATAGCTTGCGATATAATATCGCAAGCGCGCGCGTAAACATCTAGCTAAATATGCAGCGCGCTTAAGTGCGCGGCTCAAATTTCATAGCAATAAAACTTTCAACTTCTAATTTTATTTCGCGCCTTACGTTAAAGTATGGATTTATTCCTGATGTTAAGGGTCATCACCTTTCTGAACGATAATTCATAGTTCATTAATGAAATTATAGATTCAGCGTCTTACACGGACAACAGCATATACGGAATGTCACGTATAACGCTTTGTGTAGGTTCACAAACCAACCGAAGAAAGTTAAAACCTTTTAATTGTTAATTTACTGAAAACTATAACACCCAATTATATAAAACTACTGTGGACACCCTTATTTCTGGATTTGAAACCTGAGCTGGATAACCAACTATTGCAGTTTCGACTTCTGTGTCATTCACACTTAGTGTCATGGTGACCTTTTTAAACGGGGTTTCCGGAACCAATCTTATTGCAGAGATGAAATGTCGATTTTTGCTCATCTCTTTATTTCAATTATGACAGCTATAATATTCTGGTTTATGGTGATGTGCCTTATCTGTAAATGCTTTACATTGGAACGTTATCAGGAACATCACTTTTTTAACATTGCGAGTAACGATGTAAAAGGCGGGAACTAAATCCTTAAATTAGCCACCAAACCACATAATTTTCAATTAACACGTGCAACTAACTTTCTCATCAACAAGCAAATTCACAGAATCAACCACAACAATTTTAATTTCAACACATCAGGCTTGCATGATGGAATGAAAATTGCTTTGTTCCTTCACAATGAATATCTTAAAATCCCATTGTCTTTGGCACCTACCATGTATCAGACTAACTAATGGGCTCACATTTTCACTCTCAATAAGCCGTCTGTATCTACCTACCTATTGAACCTATTGTAGCACAACAAATCGCCGCATTAATTACTACCGATGCTATGTAGAATTTGGCTTAGTTACGTGCGAACGCTGCAACATGCACGCATTCAACTATTTCCCTGGCTTGCGATAATACATATCAATACATAACTATTCTTAATAACAATTAAAGGCGTGTCTCTTGGCGTAATCATGCTAATTATGTGGTTATAAATGTAAAAATATGTAGAAATAAACGTTGTCGTGTCCTCGTTAACATGGCACTTGGACAATTCTCATACTAAATTATCCGCAAATTATGCAGAGTGGATAATATTGGCATGACATTTGCAATAATACCCGTTCCGAAGAATTGAAGTATGAGGAATAATTATTCAGGGAAATGGTGAGCGTGTAAACGGAACAAAAATGTGGATATTTTAGTCCTCAGTACATGACAGGATGTCTATACATTATTAGAACGGATTCGGACCAGCGGAAAGTATTTTATATCGTTTAAACTTTGTGAGCTAGAAATAATGTGTGGCATGCTAATTCCGGAGAATTATCCATCTGATTCTATGAAATATGTAGAAATATGTAGAAATATTGATAAGCATTAATGTACTCATCTACAAGCACACACAAGGCATCAGATTAGATTGATTTTCAGATTGATATTCACACAGTAATGGCTCAGAAAAACGATAGATTCCGCATGTGAAGTATATAAATAAAGTTAGCATGACATGAACAGACTGTGTTATCTAATATGCATAGGATAGTGTATGAAATACACGTGTCGTAGTTCACAGAAATTAATTGCTCATTCTATCAGCTGTTCATGTGAGAACAGGATTAGAAGTTCTACTTCCCGTATGTACGTGTTAACTTGGGATCTAATTTTGGGTAATTTAATTTATCAACTATTGTGCCAAGAATGAATACGATAAATCTTTAGCCTACATCCTAGAATGTATGTGATATTTTCAACATTGAGCGTTTTAATCCCCATTCTGTCCAGTTTTCTAAAATTCCTCTCCCGGAATAACAAATGAATTGTAAAACTACTTCACTAGGGCTGAAACTACTTCAGTAGGGCTGAAACTACTTCAGTAGGACCAGTGCGACTAAAATAGTCGCCACACATATGACGACATGCGCTATATTGTGCAACTTTTGCAGTTTCTGCAAACATGTTATTCTGTCCTGCAGTGATCTAAATCTTTGCACCCGGGTGGCTCTAATTGGGTCAATTAACGCACCAAATATAGAGATAGTTAAAACGGGTTGCTGCACTAGTTGTCTGGGCAGAATATACTTAACTAGAAATTACAGTTTTAAATGAGTGAATTGAGGCGCACCAACGGCAACTTTATAAAATCTGCATTTACTAGAATAGAATACACATAATTTTTGGACAAGCTGTAACTGAAGTTAGAAGATCAATGTGTGACAGTCCTTCAACTCGCTGTGTCAGCTGTAATAATCTAACTTGTAGCTCACAAAAAAAGTAAATGCAATTTAATTACAGTGTCGGAGGAAAAATCTTTCAATCAACTATCAATTTTCAGTAAAAATTATATTTATTAAATTATATTCACGGTCACAGACGAAGAAATGTGAAGAAATATGGCAAACACTTTAAGGCAGTCGGCCACTTTATGGGGTGTGCCACTTTCTGGCAGCCGTGGAAGACGTAAAACTACTGGCTAATACCGAGGGTGTCGTTTCACACGGTTATTCCTCTCAGTATGAAAACATGTTGACTCTGAAAACCCATAACTCAAATTATTTGCCAAGTAGTAGTGTTGAAAGTTTTACTGTTATTTACATTTTATTTGTTGATGGTATAATGTTGAGCTTAATATGAAAAAATGTACAGCACCAGTGTATACATTTAGTTTTGTACTGTTAATTTTTATACTTTTTTTGAAGTCTTAGATACAGCATTTAGTAAATAGCATTTACATATTCATTGACATACAACAATAGTCATTAACATGGAATAATTTTGACATGGAATAATTTTGACGTGAAAATTAGCAGAATCTAACTTTAATTTATGTTAACTCATCCGTCCAAAAATTAAAACTCATTAATTTCATACCCTTTCATATCACAAAACAAATTACAGAATGAATTACAGAATAAATTACAGAGTAAATTACAGCATGGTAGTTCATCTCACGCATTACAAAACGTAGACGTCTGAGTACCTAAACATCAGTTCAGTACAGACTGAACAGCACTTCAGTACAGACTGAACACTTGTCAGGATTGCCCTCAAAACTCTCAGCTCTTCTCTCTCTCAGTCCTATCTAAGGTTTCTCTCTCATTAAGTATACACGGTTTTTACTGAACAAGTTTACAGGCTACACTCTCCTAAATCTTACACCCAGCGAATCTAAAATTATATTTGATTAGGATCTTGAAAGTTAATAACGACATAGCTTAAGTTAATTTAGTTAATAACGACATTAATTAGGTTAACGATAGCCTGGTTAAAACCCAATTTTAAGTAAACTTAGTAAATTATTTTACTCCACTTTTTCTTCTCTCAGGTTAACTTGCTATACCCCTGATTTTCAAAGCAACACAATTAATCATATTAAACATAACAACATCACTAGTTGTCTGCGTGAAGTGCAGCGAATAACAGCACACAGTTGATTACGTTTTAATTGGGCTCAATTAACCGTTTAGTCTAAAGCCATTCTAGAACTACTCCAGAACTACCTACTTCTTCCTCAAAGGAAACGGGCGAGCTGACAGAGATACCTATCGTATATATACGATAGGTATATATATAATATGGTACTTACCGTATTATTTTCTATGAGATAACAGTAAGATTTCACCATTGCTAATCAAAATTTTAGTTTTTAGTTATAAAGAAGTTTTTTTCGATATTCCCAGAATTGATGATGCAATATTAAATTAGGCTGGGTGTAGAAAGCACAGAAGCTGTTAATTAGCGTTAATTAACTGTGCAGCATCGTGTAGAAGTTACACGCAGTCTTTCAAAACAGAGACACGGTGAATATAGTGCAATATCATACAGGTTGTAGTGCAAATATAGTGCAATATCAAACAGGTTGTAGTGCAAATATAGTGCAATATCATACAGGTTGTAGTGCAAATATAGTGCAATTTCAATATCATACAGGTTGTAGTGCAAATATAGTGCAATATCATACAGGTTGTAGTGCAAATATAGTGCAATTTCAATATCATACAGGTTGTAGTGCAAATATAGTGCAATATCATACAGGTTGTAGTGCAAATATAGTGCAATTTCAATATCATACAGGTTGTAGTGCAAATATAGTGCAATTTCAATATCATACAGGTTGTAGTGCAAATATAGTGCAATTTCAATATCATACAGGTTGTAGTGCAAATATAGTGCAATATCAATATCATACCTGGGTTGTAGTGCAAATATAGTGCAATTTCAATATCATACAGGTTGTAGTGCAAATATAGTGCAATTTCAATATCATACAGGTTGTAGTGCAAATATAATATAGTGCAATATCATACAGGTTGTAGTGCAATATAGTGCAATATCAATATCATACAGGTTGTAGTGCAAATATAGTGCAATTTCAATATCATACAGGTTGTAGTGCAAATATAGTGCAATTTCAATATCATACAGGTTGTAGTGCAAATATAGTGCAATTTCAATATCATACAGGTTGTAGTGCAAATATAGTGCAATATCATACAGGTTGTAGTGCAAATATAGTGCAATTTCAATATCATACAGGTTGTAGTGCAATATAGTGCAATATCAATATCATACAGGTTGTAGTGCAAATATAGTGCAATTTCAATATCATACAGGTTGTAGTGCAAATATAGTGCAATTTCAATATCATACAGGTTGTAGTGCAAATATAGTGCAATTTCAATATCATACAGGTTGTAGTGCAAATATAGTGCAATATCATACAGGTTGTAGTGCAAATATAGTGCAATTTCAATATCATACAGGTTGTAGTGCAATATAGTGCAATATCATACCTGGGTTGTAGTGCAATATAGTGCAATATCATA